GAGCAGGGGTGAGTACTTATGGGACTACTGTACCAGAGCTATCAACTGCGCTCTGCACTATCTGAGATTGTCTCACTACTTTTGGATGCTAACCCACCCTCACCCCTACCCAGAGTAGTCTAGTCCTCTCCCCATACCTCTCTGACCAAATAACAGTGATGATGGCATCACCATGAAATTGAAGAGTAGACAGCAGAAAAAGAAAAGAAAAAACGGGTAAAGCAGGTGCAATATCTACCTTAACACAATAACCTGTGGTGCAGAGGAATTGGCCAACTTGCTTGTCACAGTCAAAATAATTTTCTGTAGTCTCTGATTATCTGAAGCACTTTGTAACAGGCCTGTCTTGGACTGAACTTGATCATACGAATTCACAGCAATCAACACTGGACCCAAGTTTGTCTGCAAAGAGAAACAATCATAAATTAAACATAACCTATGAATATAAGACCCTGAGCCCCCTGCTACACCCCAAAAAAACCTGCAAAATAGAGAGGAGCAGGTGATCAGGATAGGATGCTGTATATGTTGCACCCATATCTGAAACTTGATCCCCACTGGAATTGTAAAGGGGAGTGAGGTTTTAGAGGCTAAAGTCTGAAAAATTAAGTAACTATGAAGCTAACATGAAATTTCCATAAGGTTGGGAGAGGGGGTTCAACATTCCCCCCTACCCCTTCCTTCAAAACAAAAACTCTTCCACAAGAGAGCATGGACAATATTTTTCTTGAGCACCACATTGTTTGATTTCAATCTGAGACATCTCTCTAATAAGTGACAAACAGAGCATTTCAATGAGAGGGTTGCTTTTTGCCCAAGTGTTAGGGTTAGGGTTGCAATTAAAATTTGGGTTATGAATGGTCATATTTTCTCAGTAAAATTCTTGGAAGGTGTTTATTTAAAACAGTACTGCAGTCTGACCCAGTACTAGATTGAACCTGGAGTTTGTTAGGACTTCAGCACATAGTCATTATGACGGGNACACCCCAAAAAAACCTGCAAAATAGAGAGGAGCAGGTGATCAGGATAGGATGGTGTATATGTTGCACCCATATCTGAAACTTGATCCCCACTGGAATTGTAAAGGGGAGTGAGGTTTCAGAGGCCAAAGTCTGCAAAATTAAGTAACTATGAAGCTAACTCGAAATTTCCATAAGATTGGGAGAGGGGGTTCAATATTCCCCCTTACCCCTTCCTTCAAAACAAAAACTCTTCCACAAGAGAGCATGGACAATAGTTTTCTTGAGCAGCACATTGTTTGATTTCAATCTGAGATATCTCTCTAATAAGTGACAAACAGAGCATTTCAATGAGAGGGTTGCTTTTTGCCCAAGTATTAGGGTTAGGGTGACAGTTAAAATTTGGGTTATGAATAGTCATATTTTCTCAGTAAAATTCTTGGAAGGTGTTTATTTAAAACAGTACTGCAGTCTGACCCAGTACTAGATTGAACCTGGAGTTTGTTAGGACTTCAGCACATAGTCATTATGACGGGATTCAAACGAGACAAACATCTACTGCAGTTAGATGAATTTAACATACATACATAGTTTTCCCCTGCCACACTTCTCTGTTGTAGTACACCAACAACAGCATCCTCTGTGATTGGTCCACTAATATGAACTAAGTCATCTGGCACTAGACTTGTTGTATTACCATTCAGTGAATTTGATGCCATGCCCTTTGTTTTGACTGAAAGAACAAAAACACTACAAGTACAATCATTTGAAAAACGTTGAAGGCACAGTCAGGATGGATGTCAATTCACATTCAATTTTACTGGCCCCACACTCATAAAACAAAATAGGGTAATTATGCTATAGAAAGCTTGTCCACTTGCAAAAAGTTATATGTAAGAGCCCAAAAAGATCTTAAAACAGTCTGTGACAAATTAGTTACTGTCGCTATCAACCCCTGAGTAAAGAAAATCATCTGCTCTGATCAAACTATCCTGTAAAATCTATGAGGATGTACATTTTAGACCTTCAGACGCAAGAAGGGATTGTGAAGGTGAATTAATCAACATGACATCAGCGTGGGACAAAGAAAAATTCTGAGTCCCCAACAGGAATCAAACCCATGACCTCCCGAACACCGGGCGGGCGCTCTATCCACTGAGCTACGAGAACTCATGGAGAGCAAGCTCATTTAACTGAGTTCATATCTGACAGGTGTCCTGCATACTGCTAGGATCAACACTATCAAAGTCATCGTGAGTGGTGATAAGTTAATAAAGATGGTGAATTTTAAGCTCAGTAATGAAATCAAAATGACATGAGCGTGGAACAAAGAAAAATTCTGAGTCCCAGACAGGAATCGAACCCATGACCTCCCGAACACTGGGCGGGCGCTCTGATCCATCCACTGAGCTACGAGAACTCGCGGAGAGCAAGAAGGGATTGTTGCAAGATGCTTATTTAAAGAATCCTTGTTGTGATATTAAGATGTCCTTGTTAAGATCTTAAAGAGCTACATGTACATGTACTTGTTATGATCATGACAAAGACCTTACAAGACCCTTTAGGATCTGATGAAGATTTTACCAGGATGATAATAAAAGATCCTTTACACAATCTAGTAAGAACCTTGATAATCCTTGTGATCATGGCCAAATCCTTAAAATTTTACATTATTATTGTCAAGAAAATCCTCAGAAGATCCTTAGGGCCGATTTACACGGTACGACTTTGTTGCACACGACAAGCTTACGACAGGCCTATGACATGACTTAGGACCATTTACCCGCACACAACATTTTCAGTTACAAAACTGAATATGCAAAACTATTTGCACTGGGATTCTCGGAGTGAAAGTTCTAACAAACGATAAACAAATATTTTGGCAGTTCTGTGCTTTGAAAACCTTCCTAATGAGATGTTTTTTGCTTTAATCCGTTTAGTACTTTTTGAGAAACGACTTCATGTGAATCAGTCATCAACAACTTCATCGGCCATTTTGAAACAAGAAAACTTCACCTTCATGCCCTACTCAGTAGAAATTTGTCACAAAATAAGTCATTTTCTGTTGATTTCGGCTACGATTGTCGCAGTGTTTTAAAACATGTTTTAAAATCCTATGACATTTTTTTGATGTACACAACAGTCGCAAGTGAATTGTAGGTTTGATTTACACAAAACAATTCATGTTGTAGGCCTGTTGTAAGATTGTCGCATGCAACAAAGTCGTACCTTGTAAATTAGCCCTTAAAGATCCTTATGAATCTTTCTTGTGAATCTTTCAAAGATTTTCTCTGGGACATTATCCCCTCTTCCTTGAACAAATGCTGAAACTAATAATTTATTGTTTCATTTTTTCCAAGAGGGTACAGTTATGAATCCTGCAATGTGATTGGTTCTCAGCACGGTCCTGATTTTCCCATTCCTGCCCACAGTCAAAGCAACATGCATGCAATGTATGTGTTGAAAAGATCAACAATTTTATTATTATAAAAAAGGTTTGAGAGAGGGATTGAGACAGGGAAGAAAAAATAGATAAGTTATTAACCAGCTATGGTTGGTCTGTATAGTGAAAAACTGTGACCTCGGGCTTAGAAATGCCTGCAGCCTTGGACAGCATTTTGAAGGTCTCAGTCATAGTTTTGCACTATATGAACCTCCCAAGCGGCACATAACATATACATTATGTTTATTACTACAGCCATTCTAGATATAGCACTGCTCTACATAAGTTTTTACCTTCTCTGTGACCTGTAAGTATAACTCCATTCAGCCCAATCCCAGATCGTGCCGTCAGCAGGGATCTCAAGTTTACCAGTTCAGCACTGAGTTTCTTAACTGGGTCCTTGGCAACAGAACCATCTGCTATATTTTCACCAACAACAAAAAAAGAATCAATGATTAACTCACATTAATTTTGCCAAAAAGAGATCTACTACAAATGTAGAAACTATCCCAGGCATGATATGTTCTCAAAATGAATTCTAATAAGTAATACAACTTTAAGAACAAAAATTCAGAAAATATGTCTGGCAAAGACCTCTTCAAAGTTCTTTCTAAATATTGATTTTGTGCTTGCATCAAAAAGCCATTAAAACCATTAAAATAAGTGGAATTCTTACAACTGGCAGCTAGATCTTGAAAGTCTATGGAATATTTTTTAGTCACGGAAATTTAATCGTTTTTCATCAAGACGCTAGCATCACAATACAGATGTTTTGCAAACCGCATATAATAAAATTAACTCTGTCACCACAACATCAGGCCTGTAGAAGTTAAGGAGACTGATTCTATACAATATCAAATTTAGGAATTCTATAATTGATTTTTTTTTTCAGCAGCCCCTCAAAGTATTATCTTTGCTGCATTGCAGAGAAATATTTGACCTCAAGGCTGGCAAATGCATTCCTTTTGAATTAAGGCAATTAATTAGGTTACAATTAGTTCCCAGCTTGATATCTCAAGGCTATTAACACCCACCAGTTAATAATAAATCACATCAAAACTCATCACAATTTCCTGATACAACAGCTCGAAATATTTTGTTTTGTTCAAGTTTCGGCTGCAAAAATTGTCCGCTTAAAGAAAAACAAAGGATAATAGAAATATATTACATTCCAAACTTAGATTTAATTTATCGCATCTGGCTAGTTAAGTACCATTCGTTGAAATACTATATTTTAATTTAATTCAAAACATTACTACAAAATGTGAAACTGACAGTTTCAATCATCGTAAAACCGAAAACTCAAGAGTTCTTGGATTAAATATTTCAGGACATTCTTTAAACTTTCAATAGAAGAAAACTTCAGCATTGAAAAACTGCTCAATTACAATTAGCAATATACAGAAAGTCAACAAACAAGGATAAGGAAGATGCTTCAAGCAAATTAATAATTCCCTGGCGATCAAAGTTTCCTATGTCTTTCATGACCAGGGCCATTTACTTTTATTATGATTTGAGAAAAGAAATCTATTCCACGTAAACATAGTCACAGTCTATAAATTTTTATCGATTGTTTTGGGAATTTAACATAGTACGTCCCAAACCATTCCATTCGAAGGTGTAAATAAATTTGTCGCCATACGTCGAGATTCTGAGAAGATTAAATGCCGAATGTTCTGCTATCCTTTTATATGCTTCATTTATCCACTGCTTAAATTATCTTTATCTACTCTAATCTCTACCTAATTGTCTAGGATAACTTGTAAATTTGGTAATTCAAAACATCGATATAGGATATAAACAGTGAAAGTAAGCAGTTTTAAGAGCCGATAAGTGAAACCAAAATACCAAACTTGCGTATGTAGGAAAGGAAATTCCGATCTCACCACGCTTTGCAGGTTGCCTTCCATCGAAGCTTTTCGCCGCGGGACTTGACAACAAATCGCTATGCAGCACTCCAAGTCTCTTTTCCAAAGCACTGAGTTCTTTGAGTAAGCGATCGTTTACATCTGCCTCGTGCCCTGGTTTGCCGCGATCTTTCGCTGATGGAGTCGAAGAGGCACGTTCTCTAAGCGCTTTTAGCTCCAAGCGAAGTTCACCGTTTTCCTCGGCCAATTTCGACGTCAGTTTTTTCTCCTCCCGCAGTTTCCTCGAATCTTCATTATGACAAACTTGAAAACTTTTCAACAACTGTTCATGAGTGTGTCTTTCACCGGATATTTCTTCCCGTAAGTTGGCGAGCTCCTCGCGGAGCACGGCGTTTTCCTTCCGGAGACGATCGAAATCGCTTAATTCCAGAGAGTTTGTATGCTTTGCAGCCATTTGATATGCTCTGGTAAGTCTTAACCGGAAAAAAATTAATCCATAAACACGAAAAAACAAGGGATTTCAGCTGCCATCCCGCCGTATCATACCACACACAGCTCCTGCTTGAAAGTTGTTCACTTTTAAAACGCTGCCACGCTGACCAATCAGAGCGCTGGATTTATTCCCGGGGTCATATAATGAAACGGACAAGACTTGTCATCACTTTAGCACGTCACCCATTCCTTACGGGGCAAGTTTGAGATCAAAGTGGTATAGAATTTTGGATACAGAAAATGTGCCAGAAAAATGTCAGAAAAGATGAAAAAGAGATACGAAAACAAATTTAGGCAAAAAGCTCAAAATCAAATTCCTTTCTGGCTGTTCCTGCATATACTTCCAGGAAGTATCTCTTCTGTCCCTGGATGGGTTTCTAGTCCCCTTTAGGTTAATTTATTTGCCAATAGCAGATTTGCATGTTGTTGTGATTTGACTACAACTACCAGAATTTCTTTCACTTGTTTTTCTTTATTATTTAGATTTTGAAGCCCCAGAAAAAGGAAAATGGAAGGATTCTGGTAGTTGTAGTCAAATGACATCATCATGCAAATCGCCTATTGTACCATTTTGGAAACCCTTGGTTGGGTGCCTTAGCCAAGAAGAAAATAGTGCATGGGAACATAACATAAACTGCCCCAGCTCAAATAGATCAAGATTCCAACAAACTATCAATTTGTAATAAATTGATTGTACTACTTCAACACCTTAAATTATAATCTACTGGCATAGGAATAGTAGTTAGGCAAGGACTTCGAGTGGTATATTACAATCAGGATCCCACAGAGGAACCTTTGGCCTGTACATAAGTGACCCAACAAAGAAACCAGGGGTAATAATCGAATACCACGAAACATTTTCCTGGTCTATTCATTCCAGGCCCATTTCAGGAAAAATTGCAATGGAATGAAAGACAAAAATAAAACATCCCAGCTACTTTCTAAAAATTTCAAATTCCCTAAATTTGTTTTATTTTAACCTCCAACTACTGATTCAACTTACCAAAAGAATCTGTCAATGACAAAGTGTGGGAAACCAAAGTGACAAATTATGTGATCTGCTGGATACTGCTGAATCCATTATTCTGATTGGCTATACTTGTCAAAGCATGGGATAAATAATAGTATGAAGTTCATTTAGAAGCCACAGAGGGCACAAACTGAACAGTGCATCATCTGCTTTACTTTACAAAAACAAACAGAAAATCAGGAGAATAAATTGTCAGGAGCCCATGACCTAGGTGCAAAATCATTTATTTCTGCAAAACAGCAAAAATATCTTTTCTGAAAAAGGCTTAGCAGTTACTATCACAGAAACACCAATTATTTTGTTTCATGAATGGTAGGTAGAACTTAATATATCAAAATGTTAGAAACTACAGGTGCTTAAAGTCAGCTTATTTCAAAATAGAGCACCACACAACACCTGGCTCTCTTTAAGTCTCCAGGATTAAGCAGATTACTTTATGTCAACCTTTTATCATCACAGCAACTATGAAAGCCTCTTGAATATGCCATATTTTGGCTAGAGTTTAACCAGGTTGTAAACAGTCAATTGCAGCTAGGTAGTAACACAAACAGCCCTTTATCAGCTTCCAAAGAGCTTAGCTGTGCTGTTCCTAATTCTGGATAACCCAAGTGTGTAAGCAGTTGGGTGAAGAAGGCTATGGCAGGCTACCAGGGAGGTTTCATTAGCATTTTCAGCAGGAGGGAAAATTTTTTTTTAGTTACTTATAACGAAAACGTTCCATAGTTGGTCAAAATTTGACAAAATCATCTGCACAGCTGGTCAATATAATTAAACCCTTGGAGGTTACAAAATGGAAACATTAATTTGTTCAGCCACAAGAACATGTTATTTTCTTTAACCCTGGCTCACAGAAAAACTAGAGTATCCAAAATTAATGCTTTTAACCAGTTGTGTGACCAGAAAATTGAACAACCACTTGCAGATATTAAACCAAAACAGTACTAAAAGGTTATCTTATGGAAAAACCTCTTGTGAAAAATGCAAGCTCAGTTGATCCTTGGAAAAAAGGTCCTACCTAGGAGGTATGTCAGTTATTTGTACAATATCAAGAGTGCCTCACAAAATCCTTAAGCAGCACCATAGTTAGAAGAGAGAGTCTCCCTCTAGCATGGTAGCACTAAATAGAAATACAGCTCAATGCTCTCTTTCAAATGTTCACATATTAAGTTTCCATCTAGAGACTTAAGCAGTGTTCACACTAGGCCGAAACATGGTTAGTCTAATCACAAATGAAACAGGTTTCGTTATGAAAAGTGTTCACATCAGACAGTGCATTGCACAAATCATGGTTGAAACATGATTATTCTGAGCATGATTGAAACAACCTTGCGAGGTAGTTTCACTCATGATCAGACCAAACACGTTCAAAATGGCAGACAGATGTGCAGAGGAGGTGAGTGCCCAAAAGAACTAAAATTGGTGCTATTATGAGGCCAAATGTCTAGTTGAAATGTGGGCCAATGAGGAAATGCAATGGCAATTATCGGCAATGGGTAGAAAGCAGAATATCTGGGGGAGAACATTGCTGCAAAACTTAATGACAAATGCCTGTACGATGAAACAGCATTAATTATACTACCAGGCATGAAATGTGTTTGAAACTGACATCTGATGTGAACAATGCAATAACAAACATGTTTAGGTGAAAC